TAAAGATATAATAGGTTTACATCTTTCTACAATATTGTGGAAATTTTGAATTTTTACAACTTTGTTCTTTCAAGTCTAATAACACAAATGAAAATGGCTACAGTTCTTATTCAATTACTCCAAACTCTATCTGATCTACATTTCATAGTCTAATGAAGACTCTGAATAGAAGCAGATTCCTAAGAAAATCAGGTCTAAGTTCACAAGATTTGAATAATTTAGAGCAAAGCACTTGTTTCTTTTGGGCTTTTTCTTCATTCCTATTTGTATTCATTTAGCCTGTCAAAGCCCAAGGAAGCCTCCGGCCAGGGGCACTGTACATGAACACAGTGTCCTGCGGCTGGGACTCTCTTGTTCTCTAAAAAGCTAACGGATCAACCAACAGCCAAGGGTCAAAGATTGGGGGGTCTTTGGGATTGTCTCATGTGGAAGACATATTACACCTCACTCAAGTATCATTCTGCCAACAAATCCTCCTTACCCAGATTGCCGCAAGAAACAGAAGAACAAAAGGCACCCACCGTGACAGCTGGCTACTACCCAGGAAGGGGAGACTGGAGCAGTTTGGTGAAGACGGGGTGAGTAGACACAACTGAGTAGAGCATGCAGGCTGACCGGAAGGCTTGCTCATAGGGGATCCTGGTCGGGAGGGAGGTTTTTAGTCCTAGGCCAGTTAGAGGGTAGTGTCACGCTGCAATTTCCAGTGGACGGTATAGCGTAATGCCGGCAAAGTGTACACTGTGTCTATTGAAGAGTACGGCTAAATCAGCAGGATAGAAAGCTCAGGGGAGCTGATTTTACAGGCTGTTTTCATCCCAGGACTAATATTTCTGAAGCTTTACTACGTGGCATGGCCATGGAGNGGGAGGATCACATGCTGTGGAGAGTGGTGGATGGTTAGGGTACACTGGGAGAGAAGCTGCAGAAAGAACCACCAAATACGCTTTTATCAGGAGTTAAGAAAGAAGAAATAAAAGGAGTAAGAGCTACTTCATTTGTCACACCCCAGAGGGCAAGACGATCTTGCCTGCTAAGTGTTTATTACGTATCATGTTCTGAAAAGTCATAGCGTAAAGCCTAAATAGCTTCTTAAAATAACTAAATTTTGGTGATCATATGATGCTATATATTTGCTACTGAGTAAAGACGACACCTAGTATCATTAGAAGATGGTATTTGGCTATCTGAGGCTGACAATTATATCAGCCTTACTGTAATAGTCTAAACTAAAAATGACATATTTACAGATATAGTAACTTGGGTAGTTAAAAATGATAAGGTCAATTTATTATTCCAGAGAAAACATCCTAGGATAGTAAGCCAGAAGGTTTACCCAGACTCTAAAACTAAATTCCAAATTATGTTATATAAGTTAGAAGGTAAAGGCCTTTACTAAAACAAATATGATGAAATAGTATTTCTAAAGATCAAAAAGAGAAGTATATTTAAAAAATTAAATAATGTACTTGACCTCTGAGATATGTGTATATTGTGTGCCCCTCTGTGAAGGGTGGGAAACAGCAGAGACCAAAACTGATTATTGAATTATGTAGAGTCCTTCTATGGAACTAATCATTGATTTTAACTGTCTGAAATTTTCCACCTAAAGGAATAATGACAGAAATATGATCAATAAACAGAGACAGTAAATATGAACATGTGTGTAAAACATCAGTGGCAAAAAACCTAGGAAAAACATTAA